ATTTGTGAATTTCTTCCTAACCACGCTTTCTTGATATACTTCAAGTTATCATCATATTTAATGACCGACAGACTGACTGGCCCATTGACAGGTCTCTACCTCTCTTCGCTGAACATTCAACACTGTCTGAAATTTACCCTGCAAAACCATGATCAAGTCTGTAAGTGGTGTTTGAACTAAAGCATCTCTAATATCATGCTGTATGGACATTCCGTTGCTAGAAGTTCACTACGGACACTTCGCTGGCTATACAGAAATCCAGTAATCTGTCGCATTCACGTTAAAGTACGAGCCATTCCGATCACATATTCCAATCTCTGGTTGTCAGTTTTGACATATGCAATTAAATCTTCTATCATGATAACAGATTCAGGATCAAATGCCCTATTTGTGGTTGAGTCCAATTCTGCCAGAAAGGTTCATAAAGTGATCTGAAATTCTGTGTAAACAGTTGCGAAACGGTCAAAGTTAAATTCCTAATGAGTCAAGTTTGCACAGCCAAACTTGCAACTTCACTAGATAATAATTACTCCACGATAATAAGAGATGTGAGAGACATCAAATTATTCTTACGACAACGGCCTTCAAAACTTCATTGGTGATTGATGGCAAAATCCGCTCGTCGTAATCGACACCGATGTTGGTGTAGATTTTCGGCAGGCTTTCAGGCAGTGGACGGTAAAGAATTCGAAGAGTAATGTGAACGTTCTGTAGATCTAGAGAAACAAATCAATAATGATACTCTGATAAGCATCAAGAAGGACTATGAAGCGCTTGGAAAGCGCGGACCGCTTTAACCTAAATAAATTTCAGGCTGTCTAAGCATACTTCTAAAACAGACTGAACTGTGATATCATATTGTGAAAGATATAAAATCTTGTACACGTACAGAGACTCTCCTGATTACGCTTCAAGTCTCTTAAACCTAAATATTCTTGGATAGGACATGATTTATAAACTATAACTGAAACTGTGCTGACTAGTCAGCGATAAAGTTGTGAAACACAATTAAGACGATGCTAGTGTAACTACTGATGTCCATCGAGACGGCTTCCTGCTCTTGAGACCTCACTAGAAAACTAAATGGAGAGAATATAAGAAGTTAATGCGAGTATTCCTCTTTTAATTTCTACCAGTACATAATACTGAACTGAGAGAATTTGTGAGTACATCTTTTTTCGTCCCTCTTGTCCGAATAAAAAGACGAAATTTCCAATACACGCTCATTACAGTAATTGCTGTCAGAGCCTGAAGCATGATCAAATTACGTGATTTCCTTGAACTTTCTTTGAATTAATGGAAGAATCCGTTTCGCTCCAAGCTTCTTCAGGAAAAATTTCAATCGATATGCCATTCCATTGAATTGCCGGAAATTCGGATAAAACTATTTGGAATGTTATATGTGCATTACTTATTAGGCTTGCGTATTGTCCATTTAGCTGTTAAGGCGCTCATGGACTGCGTAAAAAGGGTCGAGAGGTGTCTTGCTGACTGAGAAATCGGAAGGCTCTCTAGCTAATGAAAATTCCGATTAACGAGTAATCGAGAAATACAAAATACTGCAAAAAAAACAAAGATAAACGAACAGTATACCTTTGCTGCCGGTGATACAAGGAATATTTCTCGGAGTTGAGCGAATATCGAAAATGATCGGCCGTTGTACCCATGGTATCAAGAAGTGCGTTCCCTCGCCAACGACTGTAGGTTTCACACCAGTGAATCGGTCAAAAATCACTCCTCGTTGTCCACCATCAACTAAAGAACACATTACATGTTAAAGGGCAGTTGTACATATGTCCACTGTCGAGGTTACATCCGAAGGCAATAGGGTCTAAATCCCAGATACGGTGGAAACTACTCATTAGGTACTGATTCTCTTGATTCAACAATTTACCCTTTCTGTGCAAATGTACATCTAACTGTGAGCTGGGTTGCAAGTCAACGACCTCCAAACAAGTGAGACTGGGACGACGAAGCAACTGCTGTGTAAAGGCAGCTTGGGAACATGCGTTCGATGAAATCGAACAATAAAAAGCTTCAGCGTTCAGTTCCTTTGCAGCAAACTCTCCGAAAATATAAAACGAAACCCGTAAATTAAAGAACATTACTGAATTAAGAATAAGGTGAAGTAAACAAAGAAACGAGAACGTGCCGTTGTACAGCGCAGAATTGGCGACAGCTCCAATTGTCGCAACTCCAATGCCAACCTTTATTAGGTTTTTGGACAAAGTCTGTGCAGCCTGCATGAATCCTAAACAAAGCAGAACGTCTTAAATTTACTGCAATCAAACCAGCGGACTTTTAATTCAGAAGCTATAAACATATAATCGGCATATGGTAAGAAAGCTAACAGTTCATTCCTTCAAATCTCGACCGTCCGCCTTACTCTTCTACATCTTTTAAAACGCACCACGAATTCTGTTTGTCTACACTTGCACATATATTTGAATGTGCTTTGAATGAAAGAATCGCATGACAGATTCAGGCTGTGGAACGTTAGTGTAATTAAAGCTTCTGATTTTCTGATCTGCTGAATCCTAACTTTCTTCAAAATTTAGTAGTGTATCCCTTATAAGAGAAAAGCAATATCCATACCTACAAACATGAAACAAGATGCAGCTAGGCGCTCAATCACCATGGCATCATGGCCTCAAATCGTCACTCGAGGCAATTAGAGGCAAAGAACGGTGGCATACACCCAGAAGTCTAATTTTGGAGGATCTAAACGTTTGCTAACACATTAGCATAAGCCCGTCAGTCAGTTTTTTGATGACTGCTGATCCTTTGGATAGCGGACACATAAGCGTAATAATCCACTTTTTGACACTCATAGACAAGAGTATGTACATTCACTTAACATAGTCCTGATTTCGGACATAACTAGCAAAGATATTTTGCGCTCTGTTTAAATCTGTAGACGTCACAAATGCGTGGGAAAAGCTGTACATTAGTTAACTTGACAAACTCGTTATGCATTAATTGTAGGAGGTGAGCGTAATCGACGCATATCAAGCCTACATTGTATATCATTATTACAGGGTGGTAACCATAACACAAAAAGTAGCCCTTTTTCTAATCATTTTGGTGAAGACAGTCTTCTAGTTACTTGCAACGATGAACTGACAAGAAGGTTGTCGTTAGGTTACCAAAACACCGACTTCGTCAAAAAATATCGAAGCACAGTTTCAACGGAAGCTGCTTTGTAACTGAACAAAACAAGGAGGAAGGAAAGAAATGAAAATTAGTCACCGTTGGAATGTCGGTCTTCTTTCACTTTCATGACTGCGCAATTCTGGCACTCTTCATGAAGTTGATGGTGCGGTACTGACCTCCCTTTCCATGTCATCAACATGAAGTGCTTCATTCTGAAGGCAGAATCGACAGCAGCTATCTGGAAAGCATAATGGGTAGGCTTCTGTTTCCTTCCCACAGAGCGGTACTCATTTAACAACCTCGGAAGGAAGAAGAGTGACCCAAACCGGAACTTGAACTCGGGACCTATCGGTTTTGAGTTCTACGCTCCACTGACTGAGCAACTGCCCGGTCCTAAGCAATGCGTGGTAAATTTCTTGCTCAAGATAATTCGTAAGACAAAGGTTGCTCTCGAGCGGAACGGAATCGTGTACCTGGGGAGTTCGACGCAGATCCTTTAGACAACTGTGCCAACACGCCACACAAGAAGGAAATCTACGAGCTAAACTCGCGGTTTTACTCACCCAACCGCATTTTATAAAAAAAACAGGCCAAATTATTACTTTAAGTTAAGCTACAGTTTTTTTAACCAACATCAGCACGTACGAAGAACATCTTCCCACAACGAACAATGAGGAAAATATGAAACAGAATAGCCTGAACAGAATACTAGTAAATTGCCTAACTTTATAACATTTCAGTAAACTGTAGTACGAAACACTGCTGCAGATCATTTAATTAACGATCAAACCACATCCCTTCGCATTTATAAGTCGGAAGCTCAACCGAAAAAACAACAGAAACGGTGAATCTGAAGGAACGTTGATTTTAAGGTCGGAGAATCATCTCGAAGAATGATTCATGAATAATGGAGCGCTCAGACTTTGCTTTAGCGAAACACTGAAGAGTGACTATTCTTATGGCTCTCCTTTCAGTTTTCGAAAGTTTCTTATATACTTCCCGCTCATATGCCATAATTTGAGCTCAAGCGTCCATCCAATTTGAAATAAAATTCAGCTTACATACATCAGGCAGAAGCAGGCAGAACGAGAAAACAGTTTTAATGCCCGAAATATTATATGTTGGAAAGGCGTAGTATCATTATTATACTCGGGAACAAAAGATACCGTTAAACACTTACTAGCAATTTAGAAAAATATCCCCTTATCACCGTATGGCAAGATTTGCAGGTCGATATATGTGCCACTTTAGTAGTAGGTTGGCCTTCAAGATCGACCTTGAAATCATCTAAACGTTCATTATTGAATTATATCAATGTACACCAACTATTTATAATACCGTATTTGCGTTTAAAAAGCAGATGTTTTATGGAAATGAAATTTTGGTGCAGCTATATCAGAAATGTATGTTTATAAACCTCCAATATATTATAAATTATTAATGATGCCTTGACATCTAATGAGCAAAGATTGCAACTGCAACAGTACAGGGTTGATTCGCATGGCCCCTGCGCAAGGATGACGCGTAAATTTTCGGATTCATATTCATATAAATATGTGCACATATGTGGGTTGGTTAAGAATTATGCAGGAAATCTGACGAATATGCAGTCACAAATATTTACGGTTTAAACAGCGCACGCTGGGTAAAGACCGAAAGACCCTAAAGTAGCTCTGTGACGCTAAGAACGAATTCAACTGTTATATGAACTTGCTGTTAAATTTTGGAAACCAACAGTTTGTCCTGCGGTTCGAAGATATGCCTACTAAGTTTAATTGGGAATTTCGCCTTTGCCGGATCCAAATCAGGATAAGAAAGGAGGAGGGTTGAGGGCCGTTCCGAGGTCTCCCTTCAAGCATGACCAAATGTCTACTCATGGTATTAACGTTATCGAAAAATGTGAAGGCTAGGTCATCGGTCGGGTTACTAAGGGCCTCACAGGCTCTTGGGAAATGCTGCAGGAAGCAAACAATCGGTTATCATAATCAGCAGTTCACTCTTTGCAGCTGAGTGCGGAGAAGGTACGCAGCAGCACGGCGGCAGCTGTCGAAGATCGACAAGAGAAGAGGACAAAAGACAAGTCAGCAGCGGAGCCAATATTTGTTTTAAACAGTGGAGGTACACAGAGTGATGCCATTAAAGCACTTCAGACAGGGTTCCGCGAAAAAGATACCGAAAACGGGAGCTCATAGCCAGAAAATGGTACATTTCACCACTCTGAGGGAAAGTGATGGAGCTAATTGATAAGGCCACAACTTACCGACTGGACATAGTTGAACTCGCGTCAACGACGCGCCTGAGCGCTAGAATTCTGAACCTCGAAGCTTCGAAGCATTTCTGCTCAGGTGTTGACATCACGAAATGCTTTGAGGTTGGTGTTTAGTAGAACTAAACGCAGTTGACAGAATCTTTGTGTGGAAGCTTGTCAGCGAAAAAGGGGCAATCATCCGGCGAATGTTATACCAGGCGAAATCTTTGACATTGCTGAGGTTCGTGCGCCAAATTTTTAGGAAGAATATGCGACTTCCATGGAGGAAGTACAAAGTAGGCTTTGCGAAGGTTCGATTATGGAGATTATTACTTCAATGGACAATTTCAATGCGCACGTCAGAGCAGACACTGAAAAGTGGACCTGCTCTAGCGACCTCAGCAGTAACGGCAAGAGTTTGTCGCGGTTTTAAGCAAACAACGGATTGTTTGCTATGAACGCCACCTTCTTCGATCATCGTATTCACATTGTACAGTGAAGTATGTACAATGAAGCCAATGACCAATTTCATATTCATATTGTCTGACCTTTGACGTCTTCCAATGGATATTCGCGATAAGAGAAACGCAGAACATCACCTTGTTGTTGGCAGCCTCCGCTATGAATCATGGAGTACTACGCGAGGACCTGCGACAAAATCAATTAGAGAATAAAATGGACATATTTTCTTCTGCTGATGTGACAGAACTTGCAAACAACATCGTAAAATCCCGCTGATGCGGAAACGGAATGGATCCGCCTTAAGAGCGGCTTAGTCGGGGCTACTGCTAAATGCTGTAGTTTCAAACGGATTTGTCTGCCTGCTTGTCATAAACGGACTACCTGATAAATGCTAGAGGTTCAGTTGACTGTCATTGGGAGTAAGGCTGTATCAAGAAATCACTTGGAAGCAAAGAGCCTTCATTTCAAATTCTATGTAAAGAAGCGCACAAAGCGAAAGCAGGAGCAGTGGCCAAATCGAAAACTGATTACTGTAAGAAAGTTCGATAATATGCTTGAGTCTAATTTCCAGACAACAATCAATGTGTTCTGACAGACCATTCGCTGGCTCCGAAGTGAAAAGATGGGCAGTTCAAGAGCCTTGAAGGACAGGTCTGGGCACACTCTTAGCAATAATGGGAACATACTTCAACAATGAGAATGTACTGAAAGGAACTCCTTAACCCTGAAAACCTCAGGTACGCTCACCTGAAGAGCAGTAGGCAACGGTTATAAGTCTTTTAGCAGATGAAGTCACAGAAGCTAGATGCGCTTGAAAAGTGGCAAGGCTGCCGAAATCGATAAAACCCGCATCGAAATGTCTAAGGCATTAGACGAACAATGCACCTGTCTATCAAACCGCAATA